ATCTCCAGAGGTGACAAGTCAGAACCTTAAACTGCTCATTTTAACTAGAGGAGTTTGAATGACAGCATCTCACACAGGAGGCACGTGAAAACATGGCATTCTTGGTTACGAAAGAAACAGGTGGGCAAAGGACGGTGTAGAAATCGAGCCCCAAAGCTGGGGCTAGCACAGGTATGGCAGCAACGGGGAGATACAGAACACAAAAGCAATGAGGAAGACAAAATGGGAAAATGGTAAAAGCCATGCAGACATCACCATTTCTACAAGGACGACATTTTTCCCGGTGATGCTAAAACAAAACCATGTGCTGGACATTTATACGAAGTACAAACATGCTGAGGGCTGCAGAGGTGCTTTCTGAGCAGCATCCCGTCCCTCCGGCCTCCTGACAGCTCGTCGGGCAGCGGGGCCACGTGAGAAACTCCCCTCCACGGTGGAGGGAGCACAGACCCCAGGCAGGGGGAAGGTGGAGGGGAAGCATTGGCGAGAAGGGTTGTTTTAAGTTCAAGTGAAAAAATCCCAGCCCAGAACCAAAGCAGCTTCTGTCTTGCCTGCAAACCAACGTGCTCTTCCCTGTGTCCTCCTTCTCGTGAGCTTGCCACGGCAGGGAGGAGACAGCAGGAAGGGTCTACTGGGAAGGGGATTCCTTTCTGCCATCTAATTAGCAGAAAGCGCTCAAAGGGAGGTCACTGTCTGTCCTTAACCAGAAGCAGCACGGGCAAATCTACGGTGATACAAAGAACTTGCATGGACTTCCACCCAACTCGCATGACCTGGAGCTGGCTGCAGTTGGCAAGGAACCTGCTGCATCCCAGGGCATTTTGTCCAAGGGCTCATTCCTGTGTAAAAGAGAAGTATTTCGTGTAGCCCCATCCATCAGCTCGATTCTACCTACTCAAAAGCACTCCCTCCGCTCCCCGTTAAAGAATCGAGATACTTTGTCCAAAAGCCTTGCAAAACCAATGGAAGCAAGGCAGGACTTGCAAGCAAGGCTGGACTACGCCAACGCGACTCTGACACTGGATAAATCAACAGGTCCTGAGGCAGAGCTACAGCCAACAAACTGCCGGAGAGCTTCAGGGACATCTCGGCAGCCAGATCCCCACTCCCCAGATCTCAGCCATCTATCTATCACTTAACCCACCCGAGCTGTGCCGACTCCCGCTGCGCTCGGTGAGGACACAGACGGACATCACCCGTCTGTCCTGTGATAAAGCACACCCGGGAGCCACCGGAGGATGGTGCATATGGGAAAAGCCGTTTCTTTTGGTGATATCGTGGATTATAAACATCCTCTGTTTTATCACAGGGAACTCAGCTGAGCACCTGGCTGGCAGAAAACATCAAACCTATGTGAAACGGGGTGCCACGCTACGCAGGATAGAGAGGGTGGTGATCGTTTTAGAGACCACCTTTAGTTTTCCATACCAATACAGCATGAAACCTCAGCACGGCACGATCAGACGCGGCTCAGCCTCAGCACGCTGCCACAGATGATAAAAAGGCTCACTTATGTAAAAGTGTGTGTGTGCTGCAGGTAGGACAGCCTTCTATTTATCCAAGAAACCTAGCAGAGGCCGGGAAGCTGGGACTGAAGCCAAGGGCGAAGACCAGGATCTGGATGATACCGCTGTGATTGCTTATCACTCTGCTTGATACCTGGCTTACTGAAAGCAGGTTTCTCAGTTCAGCTCTACCTGCCTTCAATTAAAGGATTTTGTGCCTGCAACACTAGGGGAAATAAAAATGCCCAAAGCATGCACAATGTACAAAGCCAGGAGGTGCAGTGCTGCTACGGAATAAAGAAGCTTCTGTGACCTTCAAGAAAAATTGCTGTGTTAAGTTGGGACCTCAGGCACTTGGCATTGAATTCAATTCAGTGCAAATGCTAATTTTCTTTCTCCTTCCTCAGCCAAGTTGCTGTATCTCCGGTCAGATTCTGCAGTCACTTAGGAAAACGCTGCACAGCTCTGTCACCTTCGCAAGAGCAGGTCTGCAGGAGCAGCTCTGGCACCAAAGGCTTCTTTGGGATCACTGAGTTTGTCCTGCTCCTCTCCACTTCTTGATTGCTTCATTAGCAGTGGTGAAACTCATGAAAGGAGCAAAGCTCGTTACCTCAAGCATAGCCTGAAGTACAAAGTGTTTCTGCCACGGAAACCCAGGACCATCCCGTGACCACTGCTGTGCCTCCTCTTCCTCAGAAGTCAGCTGCCAGAAGAGGAAAAGCCCTGGCCAGGACATCTGATGCACAGAGCTGGACACAGACACCCGGGGATTAAAAACCTGGATGGGAGCCATGCTGGACTGGTTCAATTGAAAGAGCAGCGGGAAGAATCCCAAACCCCACAGTATTACCTGAGAGCTAATAACCTGGCCTGTTTGGATGTTGCCCCTTGCTGCTCTCCATGTTAAAGGAAAGTGGTGGATTTGCTTAAGTCGCTTATTCCTTCTGATTCTGCTCGGCAGCTACTCAGCTAGCACAA